GAAGATTGGTAAGCGACCACTGATTTGGCTTTGTTGAGTTAGTGCTGTGTGGTTCTGAAAAGCGTCCTGAAGATGATAAGGAAATTGATTGTGGTTTGTTTTCTCTCTGAGTTTTCTTCCTGATCCAGTCTCTTATAACCTTCTTTACATTCAACACAAACGCATAGTCCTTTTAGAGATTTGTGAAGGAAGAGGAAGGGGATTTACTTCAGTGTCATATGGAAAGCATCTAATTTTTGTGAATTGATCCCTTTTTGTGTGGTTTTAAGACCTGATGGTTTCCTTTACCCTCAAAATGTGTTGCTTAACCAGATGGGACTGGCTACTAACTCACTCCAGCTTGCTAAATTTTAGTTGGTAAAAGATACTGCCCTGTGAATAGACTGTTAAAAAAAGAACAAGACTGAATACAAGTGAAATGTAAAATATGTGGTTGCTAGTGTAGATTTGTTATTATTCAACTAAATCAAAATTCCAGTGGCAAAAGAAAAGGGACTTGCCCCACACAGGTGGTAACAGTGTTTGTCACAGCAGCCAGAAAGTGAGATGCTGTTTTCCATCCTGTCCTACCGAGAATATCTGCGTACACAATGTCTGCCAGATATGGCTCAGCTTCAGAGGCATAGTGGTACTTGCTGATACTTGCTGGGCAGTGGGAACACTCAGCTTAGTTAGCAAGTGTGTGAAGAGCGTTAAAGGTGACTTGGCCTCCCTGGGTAAACATGCTGCTAGGGCATACAAGTCTGGTAGCAGCACTCTAGGCAAGCGACAGAAGTGGCTAAGGAAGATACGATCATCTTTAGAAGAAGAAGATTTATTTCAGTAAATGCTTAAGTGATTATAAGTTAGGCAATGATAGATGCAGAGGAAAGCTTAATTTCTTACCATCTTGTGGATTTACACAAGATCTTGGAAAGCAGCATCACAGCAGCTTGATGGGAGGTAGGAACAAGGTTATATTTTGTAGTAGGGGCAAGGTGTGTGTTAACTGGATGTTGTTGGGTTTTGTTTTCCAAAATCAGCTTGGGAAACTCTTCTATGGACACCTACTAGTCTGCTTTGTTTGGGAAATAGTTTTGTGACCTGAAAACTGAGGGGTAATTCAGGTACTTAAACATCTAGTGCCCCGCGTTACCCACGATGTGTGTGTGTGACTGGCAGACATGGCACAGGGTCTGCAGAGCCCGGGCCCCTTCTGGAGGGTACCCTCGTGCCTGAAACACCACTGGACGCTCAAATCTCTCGCTAATGACTTACCTCTGTACATGACTTACCGATTCTTCATTTTTAAATGCAAGAAAGTAGCTGCTCATGTATGGCTGGTGAGCAGATCAGAGCCTGGCAGGGACAAATCCTCTCCCTGGCGAGGCTGGTAGGAGTGTTGTTCAAAAGGACCCCGCTGCGGTGGGGACGCGGGCAGGAAGGTGAAGAAGAGGAGGGCTCACGGGGTCTGGTCTTTAGCTGGGGAAACGTCGAGGAAGCAGCAGCAGTGCTGGAGGTTCCTGCACCCAGCGGCATGTGCTCTGCCGAGCTGCAGGCCGGGCCGAGGGCAGCTTTCTGCTGCGGCGGCGTGGCTGGAAGAAAGGAGCTCTGGCACTGAGCTGAAACACGGGCTGGTCCACTCACTACTGAATGAAACTGTTGCTTGAGTTTCCTACATCTGCCCTCCTGTCTTCAAGCCAACTTCAAGAACTTCAAGATTAATGGCAGTGTGTTTATCTGAGGAGGACCGGTGCTTCATTGCACTCCGGCTGAGGACAACGGGGCTTATCCTCAGCGGCCCCAAACAGCCAGATTTCCGCTGTAGCCCGTGTGACGAAGATGGTTTACCCCCCACAGGGGTCAGCCCGGTGGCACTAAGCCCTGTCTCAGAGCGAAAGCCGTGGATGAAGCACCGCTGGCCTCCTGGCCAAGGCCTCCCCCCTGCTGCGCAGATGTGGCACTGCCTGGAGGTCGCGGCAAGGTCACGGCATCGGGATTTGTGGGAGAGGTTTTAGCAGTCGGCTTTTTCCCAGCGACGTCTAATCTCTCAAGTTTGCAAAGGAAGAATTGCACTGAATTGCAACCTAGGCAGAACCAAGGAAGGAAATACTTCAAAGATTTCCTTCTTTATAACATCCTCCGTTACTGAGGGCTTTCATCCTGCGGTCGTGGAGTCCTTTGTATTTCTCAGTGATGTTGTGGGGACCAAACAGCCAAGGTGGCAAAATAAAAGCACAGTTCATTCCACCTCTGGTCAGAAGCTTGTGCCCCATCCAGCAGCCACAGATCTGGCCCTGATGATTCACACATTCCTGGCTCCAGCTTCTGGATTACTGCTCCCTTTGTAGCCCTTTTTTTATTTATTTTTTGGAACACAGCTATATACCCTGGAAGAAAAATTACAGGCTTCCTGTTGAACACGATCCAGTTCAAGATCTGCACGGACTTCGCTCTGCCTGCTTGCGAGGGTGCCTCGCGGGCTGTGCCTGCCGCTGGCTGGCCCTGCCCCGGC